CTTCATCCTGATCCTTCAACCTAACTCCGTGTTTCCTTGCGTACCGAGGGGATCGTTTGACAGCTGTGCAGTTATGCCCATCAGTGCCTAGCATTTCTCCAGTGGAAGCACATTTAGGCGTTTTTGGGGGACGGTCTTCCTGCCAGTTGTTAGATAGTCTAACTTTCGCGAGAACTAGCGCGTGATCAGACCCACTTTTGTTGCCGCATTCAGCTCCGCGATAGGATGAACAATCTTCAACCGAAGAAACCCATCGTGAACGGTTGAGAAGGTAATCTAGTTGGTGTGCTGTTCGCCCGTCTTTGGAGTACCACGTCAGAAAATGTTTTTTGGATGTTAGAACCGCGTGTTGGTAATGAACAATCGATTATAATCGGGGAGGCTGAGTAGTCTGTCACCATTCTCGTAGCGCTGGCCTAGGTCAAACCTCCCTAGGATGTGCTTCGTGGCCTCTTTTGGTCCAGTTCGAGCGTTCCAGTCCCCTGCTATGGCACATATATCCCGTTTGTGTACTTCAATAAGAAACCATTGAAGGCTGTCATAGAACTCACTTGACGTTGTTGCCAGATGGGAGAGTCGGGGCGTAGACAGCGATTACTGTGAGGCTTACTGGGTGACCTTTAAATCGTGCTACTGCAATCCTAGAGGATATTGATTTCCAGGAAAGTAAAGCACTATTAGCCCGATGCCACTCCGTGTTGACCCGACGTTTCGCTACCGCTGTGATGCACCCAGCATTGGCGATCGATGCCAGGGATTTTGATACTTTTGGATCCGGAGCTCGCCAGTCTGACTTCTGAAAGGCATGTAATATCCTGCTGATAGTCGTACAGCGCAAGTATCGTTGGTGCCTGGCTCCCGGCACCTAAGAGTGTTCTTACGTTCCAGCATACAATGTAATAAGTTTTGCGTAGTTTAAGGTGTCCAGTGCACATACTTGTCACCCGAACCACTGGAGGAGCACAGGGCGCGTCGCTTCCCGGGAACGCCGTAGCGGATTGAGTGAATATCCAAAAAATTTCTGAGGAGTTAGTTACAGGAAACTTCTCCGGCGTCACCTGGCTTTGGGTCGAGGTGGCATCTCTAG